TTATGTGTCTGCACTGACGCTACAGCACTATAACGTGTGTCTATGAGCATCATGTTTAAGTTGTCACAATACGCTTTGCCATGTTGGGAGCATTGGAAACTCTTCTTTGCAATTGTTGAGTGTTCCTAATGCGCAGTAGCATGTTTGGGTTGTCCAGATGCATGTGTGTGTTGCCGGGGAGAAGCACCCTGTGTCTGTATGTATGGGACCAGGTTTGAGGTGTCACTGTGCTTGAGCTGTCCCTGAAGGTCAATGTGATAACCTATTTCTCAGCATGGATTCCAAAGTAAAAGGCAGAAAGTGAGAGGAGATGAGAGAAGCTGAGTCCCACACTGATGGGAGCCTGAGCCATAATCGAGACAGAGTGGGATGGGGTCTGCTGGAGGTTGGGGACAGAGTGAGATCTAATTGGCCCATGGTGAATTATTCACATGTATAATCCTCGCAGAATTTCAGCTCGGGCAGTGCCAGTAAATGCTGTGCATGTTTAAAAGTCATTTCCATAAGTAAGTGCAATTTCTCTACTGTTTGCCCCTGTTTAATGAAGTGAAATCTTGTTTGCATTCCTCCCAATTTCCCAACGAAAGGCGCCCAACCGTTCGCACCAAAATTACACCACCCAAATTAAAACTAGGACTCGGAGGGAGGTGAGGGACCGAGGTATTAGACCTTTCTGGGAGGGCCTGTGAAGGGCTGGGGGCGGCAAGGAGCCAGGCATGAGTTTTTAGCTCATTACTTCCCTATAGTTCTTGCAGTTTTAAGGGCTCCCCACCATGCCCCCCACCCCTACTGCCCCTATCATGTCTTTGCCCACCTTTGCTGCCCTCTCTTTTAATAGAACTACTTGGGGTACAAGAGCAGGATATGATATATTTGTTCATGTGTATGTAAACTACACTTCTACATGCATTTATGTACATGTACACGTGTGTCCGTGTGAAACTGACAATCATATACTGTTACAACTGGGACGGTGACTCCCATAAACACACACTGCAATAACAAACACAAATAACCACGTATGTGTAATTATGTAGGAACTCCTGCCTGTAGAAACCTGTGAATTTGTGTAGGCCTAGCTTTATGTATTTCAGTTGCTCAGCACTCCATCGCTATGACCTCTTTGTCCTTCCTGAGGGGTGTATGGTACCACCTCATGCCTCCCATGGCAAAGTCGCACAAGGACTGAAAGATCAGAGGAATCCCCTCACTACACTCCATCCTCAGTAGTGCTCTTCTTCACCCTGTGCAGATCAGCGGGATAACCAGCCTGACCTTCTCCTTGACTACAGCTTGAACAAATGTGCTCTTGAACAAGGTGATAGGAGGATGCTCAAGGCTCCACCTCCCCAAAGCCCCGCCCCCTCTGAGGCAAAATGGCCTCTATTTGCTCTAGCACAGAACCCCAGACATCATTAAGAAAGCCCAAACATCATCCAAGGTTATCTTCCTTTGGATTGGAGAGATGGCACAGCAGGTGAGGTGGATTGAAGAGAGGCCAGAGACAAAGACAGGGCCACCTACCAAGGCCTGGAATCCCACTCCCCCACCCCACCCCCACCCTCCACTCCCACCCCCTGAGAGCTCTTCCGCTTTCCACTGAGAGCTGGGGCTCTGGAGGAGAAGGAATGGATGGGATGGGCTCCCTGAGTGTGGTTGTGCAGCCCCCGATTTGGGGAGATAGTCACTTTCATCATTCCCTGCTGCCCCCTTCTCCAGCTGGCCGCTCAGCCTGGCTAGACCCCACCAAGTAAGTCACACAGCTACACTGAGACCACCACCCACACATTCCCTCATTCCTCCTCAAGACCCATCTGCAAGAAGCTGGTGAGAGAGCTGGCAGAGGCTCCAGGTCTAGGGGTTCTGGAGAAGAGGAGATTCAGGGTGAACTCTCAGGAGACAGAGACGTGAGAGCTGTCCCTAGAGAGGCCTTCTCTAGCACCCACCTCATGCCCCTGAGGAAGCAGGATGCTCAGGCAAGAGGGCATCACCTCCTACTGTGTGATATTCTGTTATCAGTGTCATCAGCCCCAAACTCAGGCTTCTGCTTCCACAACTCAAAATGACTCATCGATCCCCACTGCCCAAGTGTCCACATTCCTTCCGCTGCCAGGCAAAGCCAGCTCTTCCCTGTAGGTCCCTCCAACCTCTTTTTCCAGGCTCAGCTCCTGTTGCTTCCCACACACACCCTCAATGCATGTAAGCAAGTAGAGAAACTAAACATTTCTCCTCCACCACCGCCACCATGCCCTTTGATGGCATAGTGCTCTCCCTTCTGCCTGAGAGACCACATTAGCCTCACCCCATTCCAAGCTCTTCCTGTTGGGGTTCTAAGACTCATCAGGGCCAGATTTGATGCCACTTGATAGGACTTTCATGCTGGCCCCACCAAAGTAGTAATTCTTGGAGCAGTTTCTTGACCAGACCTAGTGGGTCCAGTTCTACTCTTTAGACCTTAAATACCCTGGGGCAAGGGGAGATAGTATTAGGGCTGACTTGGGGGTGTGAGTCAAGGAGTCAAGGAGCCCAGCCCAACAGAATTAAACCCCAGCCCCAGCTCCCCATGCACCTGTCTTTGTAAAGACAAAGCCTCATGTATCTTAGACTGCTACACTGGTCTC